GGGGGGGGGGGGGACGGGTGGAAAAGGGAGAGACAGGATTAAAAACACACACACACATACACACACAAACTTCCGGGTCTCATGACAGGGAAGGGAGAAAAACAAAAGGGAGGCGAGACACAACTCCCAGGGAAGGATGTGTGTGCGTACGTGCGTGCCTGTGTGTGTTTGTGTGTTTGTATGTGCGCGTGCGTGCGCGCGTCCTTCCCTCCAGTGCTCGGAGAAGGGAGGCCTCGCAGAGGACGGGTAGCATCCTCCCATCTAGGGAGCTCAGTGACCCCAGTGGGGCCACGACGCACCCGTTAGCAGCAGAGGTCGCCCATCCCGGCCTCAGGCTGGTCTCGAAGGCTCGGCGAAGCTGACGGGTTGGTCCCTACCTCTGACCGCCTCCGCTTACCGATTCGCCCCGGAGTTCTCGCTCACGCTCCCGGGCGGGGCGGGTGTATGACTCCCGGGCTACAGGAGAGAAGTCTCGCTATTGCCGTGAGGGAGAGAATGAAAAACTTTAAAGGCTACTGTACAAGTTTTTAAATCGTTTTGATTGTTGTTGTCTATGACAGCAGTAGGCAGAGTCTAATATTGGTTCTAACTCTTCCTCTCTTTCTGAGTCTTTTTTCTTACCAAAACGGACACACCCTCGTGGTTTTCCTTGATCCCATTCATCATCGATTGACTTATATAGGACAACTGTTTCTTCTATGTCAAGAGACAGTTGCATAGAGCAAGGCAGGTTTGTGTAACACTGGTCTGATTCATTTTCAGAGAGCTTGATAGGCATTTCCTTTATCCTCAGATCTGTTCACCGTAGCTGAAAACAACGATGCGGCGCCTTCTTTCCAGTGAAGTAGAAGAAATTGTGTATTTTTGTTGCTTGCTGTATTTCCTTTGGGTACTTTCACTTTTATTCCTCCTTAGTTTCTTTTCGAGTTTCTTGTCTCATAATTCAGAGCAGAAGTGAACTTTTAATTAGAGTCACCTCGGATTCCTCACTTTACGCATGAAGAAACGTATGTCTTGAGTTGAGGAGTTGCTTTAGGTCACACATTTAATTAGGGTGGAGTTTGTATTGAGCCCTACTCACCTGGTATCTCTACACAAGGGTGGGGGGGGGCGGGAGCCGTGAGGGACGAACTTAGAGTAATTGTATGGCAGCAATTCTGCTCCTATCCTAGAAATTAAAGATGGAGAACACCAGATATTTCTCTGCTGGTGAACACACATCATACTGGTGTGAGCTGCTTCTAACTCTCCATTTCTATGACTTGACTCAAATATATGTTAACTCGTTTCCGCTTAGCCTTTTGGTGGGAGAGTTTGTCATTTCACTGAACAACCCTACATTATTGTTCTGAGTTGTTTTTATTAGAATCCCACTGCATCCTTTTTGTGTTTGTAACCCACTGCATCCTTTTTGTGTTTATTTCATGGCATTTTTGCAGGTACAGAGGGTTAATGTGTGGAGAGGCACTGCCATGCTATGTTCACTTTTAATCTCTCATGTTTAGCACCTTACCTGGCAATGAATGAACAAATGAGAGCCCCAAGGGGAAATTCCCCCCCTAATTTCATCCCGACTATCTCTAGGAAATACTTCTACGTTTCTGTTGAAGGGAAAATACTGGAGATGCTTTTTTATTTTTATACTTTTGCAGACAACTTTTGGCAAATTTCTAAATTATAGAACCAAGCAAAACAATTTCTAAAATTTTTTAATCAAGTAATTTTTCTCTTTTTGCCACATTGGTTTCTCTTTTATAAATTCCTTCTTATTCATATAAGTAGATATGCCAATACGTATCTTTTGACTTTTGCTTTAGACTCCAAGCGGTTAGTGAAGTTTGAACTATGATTTTACTGTTTGGTATGAAATCATAATTTCACAGGTAGTATTCTGCTTCCTGGAATCCAGGGAACTAGGTGAGGAAGCAAACAGTTGAGCAGGCTGAAAAGATGTCAGCCTGTAGACAAAAAAGTATACATTGGAAATTTAAAAGACTGAAGGGCCTTTTAAATGATGTATACAATTATATTTACATCTTGGAGTAAGGGCTGGATTGTAACAGATTGAATTCATGAACGCACACATCATTATAAAGATCAAACATTAATCCTCTCTACTACCATGTAGCAGATGATCACAAAAAGAGCTCTTACAGCGTCTCCATCAATATGCCATCTCTCCAGTACACAACTGAAAAATGACATTTCCAGGTGTGTGAGAGTGGACTTTGGAATCAGGTACTAATCTCAGCTCTGCCCACTACCAACTTTGCCATCCTGGGCAAGTTATTCATCACTTCTGATTCTAGTTTGTTTGTTTTTTTTTAACTCATGAGTATAACAATACCTGGCTTAATGAGGAAGTTTTAGTACTGAAATTTAATCAAAATTGGATTAAATATATGTAAAGCACCTACCATAATACTAGTAATTTAATCTTCAGTAATAAGTGACTGTAATGATCATTTTAATTATATTTTTATTTTCCCCATATACTTCCTAGGATTAGTCTTCCCCATCCCACCCCCCTTGGCTTTCTTGAAAGTGCAACAAAACTACTACTATTGAAAGTTCTGTGATTGTGAAGATAAATAATAGATCCTGCTCTCAAGAAGTTCATACTTCACTCTTAAAAAAAATACATAAACAAGTGAGGATTTTGGTGGGCTGAAGACAAACACTCAGCTTCTAACATGTTGAGATAACTTGAGAAATATTTAATTATGACCTAGGTGTATTAATATCCAACAAAACCTATAGAAGAATGAAAACGCAGAAGAATTAAAAACCCACACCTCAAACCAACTCACATTTGTACATTAATGAAGTTTGCCTGTAAAATCCCTAATCTGTTTGTTTCACAGCTTTCAAAAACAGTTTTCTGGGGGCCCTTCCTGGTGGCACAAGGAGTTAATGCACAGCATTGTAAAGTTATTCTCAGTCACTGCAGCATGAGTTCAATCAGCAGCCAGGCAGCTGACCCACATCGTGCAGCAGACTTCTTCTGTCTTGCTGGCTGCTCCCTGCAGCAATGTATTTCAGTCAATCTGCCTGTTCTGCTCCCCACTCTGTCTCTGGTGAATCTTCTCACACCCTGCACCTCTGGCCGGTACCCCAGTTCTTGTATGCATAAATAAATAAATGTTAAAAAAAAAAGTTTTCTGGTCTGGTATGAGGTTTCCTTTGCATTTGAGTGAAAGCTATGCCAGGTTTTTCCTTTGAGGTAATGTTGAAGAAGTGTAGTTAATGGTAGGCGCTTTTGGTTGTTAAATAATTAGACCATTTTAATCAAGCACTAGTTTTCTAAGAAACTTATTCCCATTCCTTGAGGTTAAGAAGCAAAGCTGACAGCGATTAAGACTTTGCCCCTAAGAAATTCATTCAACAATATTTATTGATTACTGATTGGGAATGAAATAGTAAGACATTGAATTTAATGAAAGCTTGATATATAAACTATCTTTTTCAAGAAGTATGTGAGTGACTCAGGGTTTGGGAACAACAAAATATAGCTCTTCCCCTCCTCCCAAGGTAATGTTTGCTCCTTGAAAAAAAAAAAAAAAGAATAGTTCTTAAGAGAATAATTTGGTCTCTACACCCCAAGTGAACCTAGGTATCTTGCTAGTGTTAGGTGGAATTATGAAATGAGTGAGTTTATATTCAGTTCCCCTTTGGGTTATTTAAATAGCTTTCCTGTCTTTCCTGTTTGTTTTCCAAAAGACACTAAAGTGATGATTTTAAAATGCAAACCCAATTATATTATTCTTCTGCTTAAAAACTATGACTCCCCATTGTCTGCCAAGTACAGCACACAAGACCTTGTGTGATCTTGCACTGCTGAGCCTTCCAATCTCTTCCTCCATAAGACCTCCCATGTAGAGTTTTCTGGATGCCCAGTTTAATTTAAATC